GGTTTTAGCAATACTGGCTTCCCTAGGGAGGGTACATTCTCGCTAACGACCATTATTCCCGTTCCTGCGCTGAATACATCAATCACGGTCTCAATTACCGCCCCTACAACTTGTGTAACTCAGACCCCAGTTACTCAGGCTCCAGTTACTGTGACTGAGCTGGTCACGTCAGTTTCCACCACCACCGTCTGCGATAGCACTTGCATAACTACGACGACAATTCCCGACTCATACGCGCCTCCTGGGACGTACGCTCCTCCGCCTGGACTTCGGCGCCGCGGAAACTTGGAGGTCGATTTTACGGAAGGCATTAATGGCGCCCACACCATATAGGGCACTATTGGCAGTAGCGAATACGCATGGCCTTCAAGCAAAGGTATAGAATACCCCCAACAGATTGGATCTAGGGGCTGCAATAGAGAAGTATCACCATGGAAAGAGCGGTGAGAGATCAGCCCGTGTTGGTTTTGCCTTTTTAATGAGATTACGAATATGAGTATCAGCTGTTTCTAGCGATCATTTAGCATCTTTATTGTTCTGTTTCTTTCCTTTCTTTTCCTAATCTCTTTGGTTCCTCGGTGTTGGCTTTGATTTTGTGGGCTGGAAGGTGGTAGTTGTTCCCTACATGGATTTGTTAAGAACAATCTGTGATTGTGAGGTAACTTGAGACTGGCGAAGAGTGGCAATATAGAACTGTTTTCCCACTATTGACCACACAATTGCAGTGAATTTGCACGGTGATTGTATTCCTGGGCTTATCATATATGGAACTGAACGCGCATTGAGGCGCGTTGAAGCCTGATAGGTCAGTGATAATATCTGTATGGACGCATCCCGATGGCTGTGAAGCTTACACAAAGGGCCAAAAAAGGGAAGATGAACTGAAATAAAATAATTTCTTTTCGACAGGCACGGTAGCGGCACTAGAAGACAATACAGAGTCATCATCGTGATCGGTGAGCTGAGTGGGTAGTTGTTTTGCAGAGACAAAGCATTGCCAATCAATCCAGGAAACGACGACATACGATCGAAACACTCTTTGAAACAGTGCATGGGGGCCCAAAGTATGACGGCATAACCCTTTACAAGATTCATTGGCCTGGAGAACTTTGTTGCTACAGTGCATGCCCATATGCTGCTGCGGCAAGCGACATGGGCGTTGTTGGATGTTTGAATCGTGCCTTCAAGCCAACTGTATTGGCTATCGTACGTTGGCATCTCGTGCGGAACCGTCCACATGCGGATGCGTCGACGATGCGTGAAGAGCGTGAACGGCGTCGAATCTTAGGCATGAAATGTTGTCGAGAGGGTATTGGCCACGAAGGACGATTGCCGCTGGCTTTGGTGGAATCAATGCAGAACCCGCATGATTGTTACACGAAACTTGACACATTCCCATCTGCATCCTAGTCTCTTGCTTCAATGTTTCGTCTCTTCTTTGACCGTCCTTTGGCTTTTGAATGTTCGCCGCTTGACTCAACCCCGGTCCAAGGCATTCATTGGCTGAGGGCTGCACCTCCTCCAGCATTTCCCCTGCTGCATCTAGACGAATCAGTGACTGGGCATGACGTCTGCTAGAAACCCACCGGAACGTAATAAGCGCTCGAGGACATTTTTGTAAACAGGTACATGTGGTGCGCGTTTGGTACAAAAAGAGGCGGGAGGCGCAGGCGGAGCTCAACACGAATAAAATAAAAGGTCATCCGGCACCGTCTCCTGCCTCAGAGAAGAGCTTGGGAGGGGTCGCAATCCTGACAGCTATTTCACGCAGATTCGACGCGGCCTAGGATCCGAGGGATCAACAGAAGAAGCAGACCACTCAGCGGTCGCCACGTAGGCCTCGCACTAAAGACTGCTCGACATCGGCGGTTGAGCGAAATGGACTAATGTTACTTTTTGCAGTAGAGACTTTTGGAGGCCGGAAGACGACGCTTCTACACCAACATGGACAGACAGACAGACCGACGGGTACATGGCGTTGCTGAGGAGCGCGATACGAGTCAAGCCAAGTGCAACCGGAGGAGCGGCAAGAAGCCGAGACTTGTTTGTTCTTTCTTCTTCTTCTAACGTAGGACAAGCACGGCGACGCCTCTGCAGGACGAAAACAGCCACGATGAGGGCGTGCTGACGGTGGGAAAGACAGCAGCAGCAAAAGCAGCAGCAGCTCAAAGCCAAACCAAAACCCAGCAGACGACGAGACGACGAAGACTCACCGCCGAACACGAGGTCACGCAAGCACCATGGCTGGGAGGCGACAAAAAGGCCGTTGGCCGTAGGCATTTGGAAAGGTGGGAGGGACGGAATGTTGGAGTGCGGACACGGGAAGTGGAGAACCCCGAAGCAGACTAGTGCGCATGTCACGTGCCGCGCTATTCTCCACATCACTCGACCCTCTGACCGACCTCCTTCCTCTCAACACATCACTCACCTGCCGTAGCCGTCTGTCGCCCTGGCCTGCATCCTCTACCACCCGCCCGCCCACAGACGAGCCTGTCTTCGGCTGTGTTCGCGGCGTCTACGCTTCTATTTTGGCTACGCGACTCGCACGGATTCGTCACTCAGCGGCTACAGGCTGCCTCTCATTGAAAGCGGGAAATCCTATTAACAATCTGTCCGTTACGCTGTAGAACACTGGCGTGGGCGCATATCCTCGGATCTCGGCCGCCAGAAGTCTCCGCTCAGCTTCCACCCGCGCTTCCACTCCGTCTTGCCGCCCCAAGTCCCCTTCCCACCCGGAAAACGAGTGGTTCTCCTCCAACAAAATGAAAAGACCAAAGAAAACCTTGAAACAGAAACGCCACCTCTCCCCGGACCCTCCGTCTCTCAGTGGTTGCTGCCGATCCCTTGGAGCCTCCTGTTTCGCTCGCAACTCAGGTCGTAGATCTCCGAGTCCAAGGACCTGATGATGTCCATAGACTTGTCGATAGACGCCTTGAACTTGCCACCCTCCCGCTGCCAGCGGTTGACACGCTCCACCTCGGCTGCCCGGCGTCGCATCTTCGTGTCGATCTTCTCGCACAGCTTGCACTTCTGGCTCACCGGCACCGTCGTCATGATCAACTTCATACCGCAGGTTTCACCAATGCGGTACTCGCGGTTGCAGTGCTGGCGGAAATGGCCCCACTTCCAGTCGCCGCAAACGAACCGGTGCTGGTCGAAGAAGCACATGTTTCAAGAGCTTGGCCAAGACTGAAGATCTCTTTGATTAACTTCGAGGCGCGATGCCGCAAGAGCTTGGACCATCTTACCTTCTGATATCAAAGAATGATATGCTGTTGGACTGATTGGATGAAGTTTGCTGAACCTGAGAAAGGTCAACCACCGAAGCCTGCTACTGGGACTGGCTCCGCTTTACCCACCCCTTTGGCTTGCTGGATCCTAGGACGTCTTCGATTGAATCCTAGTTGGATGGATTCTTTGGACAGGAAGAGCTGGTGGCTGCCTCAGAATTCGAAGGCGCTTGAAGAGTATTGATGAGGATTGGGATAGGAAGAGAAGTCAGGAGTCGATGCTGGTGAAGATGATGCTCTGATGGTATCAAGGCCGCTATTTATGCTTGGAGGACTACACCGACTGTCATCAGACCATGTCTGACAACTCTTCCTGCTGGACGACGTATCCCGTTTCCGTCGTCTGTCCATCGCCGCTGAATTATCGTACCCCACTCCGTGGTGGCCAACGATATTGCCACGATTCAACGGATCACCCCCTAAAGCCGCTAGAGGATCCATGAAGGCCGGCTGCAATGATACCCTAGGCCGCGCCGGGCGTTCCAGGCATGCAAAACCATATCACATTTGCTTGGGATCTTCGGCGAGGTGGCTTTTCTTCCGCGTAATATCTCCTCCTAGGGACAAAATGCCTCATGCTCCTTGTCCCATGCTGCCCGTCGGAGCGCGTCGAGAGACATTGATGCCAGCAGTCGAGGACTATCACATTTTTGGCCGGACGAAGGTCGAGGTTGTTGCGCCGAATATGGTCACGTGGTCGCCGTTTCCTGCCGGGCCATTCGCTCGTTCCCGCCCCTAGCCTTGCCTCGCTAGATGATTGGATATGGTTCTTCTTGGACGGCCATTGCCTTTGTTTAGTGCGGGACACAAACGTGCGAGCCACCGGACGTTTGACGGCTAGTTTCCCGCGGGCCCAGTAGGGGGGAAATGAAAGGCCATTGAAAGACCTATCCGAGAGCATTGGGTAGAGCCCATCTTGGACAACGCCGGTTGTGCTCGGCTCGAGCGTCCTGTTTCTTGCCTCTCCTGTCTCCGCGTCGAGGACGGACACATTACGAAGCTGTTGCCGAATCTAGCCACTGCCGGACTGTCAACGTCACACTAACTAATCAGCGTACAGTGTCAGCGGCCATGCATAGTATCCCCGATCAATCCCCTCGTGCTCCCATCTATGCGAGCCTGGAAGTTTCTTGGCAGCCGCCGTCTCTCCATACCCACAGTAACCAGCTGCAGGCATCGTTGTCCAGTCACCTTATCTTGCCTCCATGCAGGACCTTTTCGTGGGCATGGTGTCCGATCATACCATGCACCGGCAATATGGTCCACTGGCACAAGCCCGTGCATAATGCATGCTCGGCTGGTGCCATTCTCCTCAGCTGACCGTCCTCCCGCTCCTCGGCTTGCATTGACTGCGCGGGACGCATTGTTAGGCTTGTTAGTACATGCATGCTGACAGGCATTTGGTGTTAGGTAACGAGCTGGCGCGGGACTTATGCGGCAGCTTGCCCGTCATCGCATATCGAGGCAATCGTTTGGGTCTCAAAGGAACGCTAGGCTCGACCGAAGTATGCCCCATCGGAGATCTTCTGACGTGGCGAGCGCGGTTTGGTTGATCTTTGAGGTGGCTTTCTTCCCGGGGTATCCATCTCTTCGTCGAAAAGAAATATCTGTGCAGAAGGTTCAGCCTGGCTCCGCTTTGCGTATGCCGCGCCTCGTGGCATGGTTAACTTGCTTGCACCACCCTGGCCAGCGTCACAATATCACCCTCACACGGACGATCAGGCCCCTACCTGACAAGAGACGCCGGTTACCCCGCGTGGTTGTGCTTCGTGTATGGACACAGCGCCGAGGATGACTGAAGCTTTGACGTTGAGGTGGCGAGCCGTATGCATCATGATTGTGTTATCACGCCGCCAACCTTTCTTGCCTGACAGCGGCGGCAGTCACCGGGGCTTGGTGGACCAATGCGTGTTCACTGATTGATTGCTTCACTGCTGCCTCGTTTCCGAGAGGGTCTGGAATATAAAGGAGGGCTGGGAGGGGCAAAAACAGCTGTCTGGCAGGCGCGATCGGTCTCGCTTGGTGTCTGCATGTTTTCCAACCCGGAGCAGACGAGGTCCGGCTCAAGACTGGAAGCAGCAGCAAAGGCGACGGCAAGCCAATCGGCCCCAGAAATAGGATAAATGCTTCGCTTGCACGCTCAGAGGCCAAGGCCCGTCGTTTTTCGGCCCGTGGAGGGCGGCGTCGGCGTGGTTTGACGACGGCCGACGTTGAAATTTACTACATGCAGGCGCGTTCCAAGCTGGCGCTCTCGAGCGTCATGTGAATAGTATTGGATGCAATTCACCGGTCTAGGTTTGTGCACACAGCGAGCGTGAAGCACGGGATTGTCGCTCTGTGCGAGTGCGAGCGGAGGCAGGTAGGGGCGTGTAGCAAATAATGAGGGGCGTGTGGGTGGGCCGGCAGCAAAGCCCACCTGGCTCCCTGGACGACGCAAGTGAGACTGCCGATAGGCTGGGCTGGGCGTGGATGCTTTTGTAGAGCGGCTTAGGGCCGCCAATGGGGCTCTGGATCCTCGAGCGTCAGACAACGGCCTTGAGTGGCTGCGCTTGTCATGCAGCTCGATGCAGCTACTACCGACCTGCAACCTGGATTGGCCCCACGATGCGCTGGAAGGAGCCTAGAGCCTCTTGATGTCAGACTCTATACATCCCTTCGCCTCACTGTCCCGGAGTCAATTTGGCTTATGCCACAAGCACGTTTCTTGCTCTCATTTCCCAATCAGATTCCCCTTTAGCAACAGTGGTGGTCATCTTGCCAATGCACCTCCATGACTCGGACCACAATCGAGGTGCGCTAAAACGCGTGATCAAGGTTTTGCGGCAGCGGTACGCCCTCCGGCCATCCAAATTGGACCGCCTAAAAGCTTCGGCGTCTTTCCAAGCTTGACAGCAGCGCAGTGTACACGCCATATCAAGACCAGGACGCTGGTGACCACAACATATGACATAGCTGTGAGATGCTATCCACGTCTTTGCAGATGATGGACAGCCGGAAGGAAAAGGAGTTGTCCTTCTTTCCGAGATAGGACAGTGAAAACTGTCTCCTTTCACTGTCTCCCTTACAGTTTTCTCCATAGAACCACCTGCACTCAGAAAGAACAAGTTCGAAGATGTCGCCACGGATCTTACTCCGTTGGCACCCACTGGGCCAAGCCTCAAAGCACAGCCTTAAGCCAGCTAGGTACAGTGGCGGTAATAGCACCGGTTGATGACGATCGATCATACACAGTTGTACCACGCTAAGTAAAGCCAAACGTCAGATCAACCAACGAAGGCCGTGTGTTTTGCGGAACGGGCACGCCTTGTGTACAGGACTGTTGTTAGTTGTTGTTAGTTGTTATTAGTTGGAAGTTACAGACAACATAGTCAAAGGATGAGTAAACGAGGCCTCGCCCAGATGTTAACTCAATTGGCAATGGCCGTGTATAGAAAGCTATGAATGGCAATCCCTAGAATCGGACTTCACGTATGAGTTGTCCTGCACAGGGAAAAGTTTACAGAATTATCTCTACCCAAGAATTGCTGCGGAGGCAACGCAGAGAGCTCTAGAGTTCCCATGCAGAGCCACTCCTGGCTGCAATGCTGGGGACGAATGAAAGTTACTCCCTGTAACCAAGCTCTTGGTCTTCAGTTTCCATCATGTAAGTTACCAAGCACTATTGAAGATGTTATTTGGCTTGGTTCTAAATATAACGTCTAATAAACAAGGCTCAAGTGACATGTGTGACAGTCGGACACAATTTGCTACAGCAGCTAACATGAAATTCACGTGCTACTTTATGGTGACGTCTTGAACCACGATGTCCTCGTTGCACATAGCTTCGCCATCCATAACCCCATGGACGATGCATTCTCCAAGCAGTGTGAACTCGTCTCCGCTGGGTCGTAACATAAGTGGTATGTCACAACCTAGCATTATGAAGATTATATCACCGTCTCGGGTGCCGTAAGGCGCCAGCCCCATGTATCCGCTTGAGGTAAGAACGAGGACTCGTCCAACGGCAACACCCATGGTCGAAGTGTAGTAATTGGATGGGAGGATCCATGAAGGCTTCGAGAGATCGTCAATCAGATTGCCAGATGAACGTCTCTGGTGCTGGTGAAATTGTGCTGTTTCACCGATGTAGTTGTTTCTGAGAATTCGCTGAAACACTTCTCTTCCAGACTCGCCCGTCCCTGGGTACGGTGCGTGACATCTGCCTGCTATACTGTCACATTCATCCTCCCACTGGGAAATTAATGCCCGCTCGGCTTTAGGATCTGAGATCCCAGTGAAATCTAGGTTGACAGTCCCCGCTAAATTGACCGTATCATGAAACTTCCCTGATACCTGAAGTCTCCCGTCCTGCCGTAAATGAAACTCTCCTGTAGAATCTCCGCCTGCTTTGTAGTCCTTTGATCCCCAAAAGCAAAGTGGACGTACTTTGGGATTGTAGCTCCAATCGGGAACCCAGGAAGGAAGTTCCTGCTCCTGGTTGAACGATCCTGCACAGCAGAGCGTCGTCATGGCGCGATGGACCTTTTCTCGCTCTTTCCGTCCTTTGCTGCAGCAACCAAAATAGCAAGAGTCTCGCATACCATCGGCGCAACAGGTCCGTGGTTGATGGGCCGCCTGGATGGTATACACGGCAAAGTTTACAAAGACATCCGCTGGAGACTTTGAGTAGTCCGGCGTAATGTTGTGCTGGCTAAGTTCCAGCAGAGCGTAAATTTTGTCACGAGGATCAGATGCGCCAAAGTCGCGGCATGCCAGCATGAGGTCAAAGAGATCCGGTAGCTCCGATTGCGCGTTTTGCAGCTTTATTCTGTTGATCCGGGAGAAAGGCAGTTCCGTTGCCAGCCCGGAATCTCTGATGTTCCAGTTTCGGTAATCCTCGCAGTCTAAGTAGTTTACTATTTGACCAACCTCGTTCCAGCTGAACGTAGCTTCTCCACAAAATATCTCAACATCTGCTGAGAGAACCGCTTCTTGGATGACCCACACGCGTGAAAACCATGGACGTTGTAAGACGGCCGCCAAGGCCTGCCACTGCTGTTTCCCCGGGCTCGGCAAACCGCGACTCTCGCCCAAGGAGTCCCATTCAAAACGGAGCTCCGGGTCGGTCTGCGTTTTTTTCAGGATTTGGCGCATAAGGCTCAGACCACACTTGAGGTCCAGCTTCGTCCCATCCTCGAAATACTGGGTGTCATCGCCTAGCCACACAATGACTCTGTCTGCAGCCCTATAGATGGCTCCCATGAGGCTGACTTGGCGGTTGCGCTCCTTGATGTTTTTTTGGTCAATACACAGTTGGTCGATCCACATAGTGACGACGTGGTCAGGGTCTCGGAACCGTCTAAGGGCTCTATGCAGATTGGCTGTGACCAGAAGCGTGCGGCCATGGCACTTGATTGGTTTGTCCTTGGCACCATCACCCCATGTATACGATAGTGCATTGTACTTCTGAGGCCCTGCAGGAAAAGCCTCTGACATGCTGAGCACAATACCGGAGGCGCCGGAGCCTGGCTGGATGTGGACCAGCCGTGTCGTCTTGGCAGAGCGGAGAGGCTGGTAACGAAATTGCCGTGCCATGCTGTAGACATTAAGTTAACAGGAGCACGTTTTTGTCTGAATCATATAAAGCGGAAGACTCAGTGCGGGCCGGGAGTTTCTGACGCGGGGAACAACGACGAGCACCGCGGGCCTTTGTAAGCCCGACCAATCGTCACGAGCATCAACGCTTGCGGCTCAAATCGAAAGATATCCATGACCTTCCAGGGGTATAACGCTCGCCGCCATGCATACAATATTACCACAATGCCGCTAATTTCTTCGAGTTCCAGCAAACGTTGCCCCCTGTACATTTCCTAGCCGATTAATTCAACCTTTTCACCTTTAATCAAGGCAATAGCCATTTTGTGCCTTGTATATCCGGTACAGCTCTGTTAACGCCCGACAATCATTCCTCAAGTGCGCCGGCCGTACTATCATGGGCCACGTTACTTTCGTAGTTTTCCACCAAACGATTTCATGGCACTCTTCAGTCTTGCCATCCGTTTTTTATCCGACTGTTCCGAGTCCGCCGCTGAACTCCGTGGACGAATGTCATTAAAATCGGCGGGTTCGAACGAATTAGATGTTGAAGCAGATGCTTCACGTACGCGAACCAGCAACCGTGCCTGGAGCAATTCCCAGATAGCTTTCCCTCCCTGAGAAGTAGGGTTCAGCCATGGACAGTGAATGCGGTGAGCTTCAACGAGGTCGAGCTTGGTATTGTCGGAATACAACCAAAGACCGGTTCGTTGATGACATTGCTTGCAATAGACGATTGAGTACTTGCCACGGTCCTCACCATACCATCCATACAGAGCGAAGAGTTGAATCCTTTGTTGAATTTGAACCTGGTTCACGTCGATTCGAGGCGGCACTTCATTATCGTTCGATGGTGGTTGGTTGAGCTCCGGCGGAAAGCCTTTAGCCAATGCTTCAGGACTCAGTCCAGGATACTCAAGATGTTCGATTGTAGGCAGTTGGTGTCGAACGCCGAGCAAAGATGCCTGGCGCTCAAGAAGCCCAGGCTTGATGTGATCCTCATAGCTCGCCATAGGTACATGGTATATGTCATCTGCGACGGTTAGCAGCGCAGTAAAGACTGGCCACAAAGTCAGACAGTAGCTTACCTTTGCAGCCCGCCTTTTTCCATAAACATCCTTCGTCATGTCCCTCGACAATGAGCTGAGCATACCGCTCAACAAGCGCTTCGTCCACTTCTTCAGTCATCATGCCGTGATCCTCATCTTCCCCGCCGTCAAGTTTCTTCTTCTGAGGCTCTAACTTGATGACGATGCGCTGCTCGCAGCCGCCCTTGCAAGCCACGGTATTGACGGCCTCGCATATCCAGCCTCGTTTGGCCCACTCCACCTCACTCAACCGGTCAGGCTTCGGCGCCCATCGCTTGACGTCGGCAAATGTCTTGATGCGTTCGATGAACAGTTCGTGGCTCCAGGGCACGTAGTTGGGCGTCTTGCGAGGCTCGGCGGTCTCCTTTTCTTTGTCCTGCTTGGAGTTTGCGCCGACAAGGCGGACGCTCTTAGCCCGCTGCTGTAAGGAGAGGCGATCGGTGGATTCACGCGCGCTGGCGGCGGTGCCGGGCCTGTCGTCCGAGGCAATGGAGGCGGCGTCAAGCGAGGTGCGGGAGCGTTTGGAGGGCGGTTCTTTGGTGGCGGCGGCAACGGACATGGCCGAGGTGTTCTTTTCGCGGAGGGAAGCGAGGCTGGTTGTAGAGGAAGCGGCGGTCATGTTGTCGAGTATCTTGTTGAACTTGCGTTTGGACGTGCTTAGGGCCGCCATCGTTAGCGTGGCGGTACAGCTGTCTCGGGTTGATAGGTAGCAAGGCTCGAAAGCAAGCTCCGGGTGGGTAGCTCTCGTTGTTGACGTCGGCGAGTCGGCGCCTTTCCGTCTTTCGCCCGTCACCCAGCCCGCAGGCCCGCCGCCAGCAGCCCGCGTCAGCTTCCTGGATTGCCCCACTAAGGACTCGTAAGGAGATAGTTAAGCTAATGAGGGGACTGCGTTCGTCGTCATCCTCCCCTTCCTCGTCCCCATATATCCTTGCCTTTTCGCTCGCAGCCCTGGCGCTCGCTCTCCTGGCTTCCTTTTCTTCGCGTCTCACCCTCCTCACTCGAACTTTCTCCTCCCAACTCCCCAAGTCGTCCGTCATGTCCTACTCCAAGGAACTCCAAGTTGCCGAATTGGCCGTCCAGCGCGCTACTCTCCTGACCAAGCGCGTCTTCCAGGAGAAGGCCAAGGGGACCGTCTCCAAAGACGACAAGTCCCCCGTCACCATTGGCGACTTCGGCGCCCAAGCCCTCATCATCAATGCCATCCACGCCAACTTCCCCGATGATGAGATTGTGGGCGAGGAAGAGGCCAGCACGCTCCGGGAGAACACCGAATTGCGCTCGCAGATCTGGGACCTGGTTCAAAAGTCCAGCCTCAACCACGACGAGTCTGAGAAGATCCTCGGCGGCCCTCTGAAGAGCCAAGATGCCATGTGCGATGCCATCGACCTTGGCCGGAGTGCTGGTGGCTCCAAGGGGAGGATCTGGGCATTGGACCCCATCGACGGCACCAAGGGCTTCCTGAGAGGAGGCCAATACGCCGTGTGCCTTGCTCTTATGGTCGACGGCCAAGTCAAGGTTGGCGTTCTGGGTTGCCCGAACCTGCCATTGGATGACTCGCAGGCTCTGGATGCCGGTATCGGTGCGGACCAGACCAGCGAGGGCAGGGGCGTGATGTTTAGCGCTGTCGAGGGCCAGGGCGCAAAGGCTCGTCCCATGAGCGAAGGCGCGCTTCAATCCAGCCATGCCATCTCCATGAAGGCCCTGTCCGATATCTCGCAAGCCACTTTCTGCGAAAGCGTTGAGGCTGGACACTCTTCGCACGGCGATCAGGCGACCATTGCACAGAAGCTGGGCATCACCAAAGAGAGCGTCAGGATGGATTCGCAAGCCAAGTATGCCTCAATTGCTCGCGGTGCTGGCGACATCTACCTTCGCCTGCCCGTCAAGAAGGGATACGAAGAAAAGATTTGGGATCACGCGGCCGGTGACCTCATCGTCAGAGAAGCTGGCGGTCAAGTCACTGACGCCAATGGCAAGAGGCTGGATTTCAGCATCGGCAGGACGCTGAGGGACAACTCTGGTGTTGTTGCTGCGCCCAAGGCGGTTCACGACCAAGTCATTGCGGTCGTCAAAGAAGTTCTTGCGAACAAAGCGCAGTAAATAGAATTTTGTCGTCCCCAAGACAGACACAGTCGCGTCTGTTTTTGTCCAGTCCAAATATACCCAGAAATAAATAAAATACAGTTTCTGTACAATTGCGCCAGTGTTCTGCTCTATTTGATCTTCTTCGACTTAAGTTTGATCGTCTCGCCGTTGACGAATATACCCTTGCCCTTGTATGGCTCGGGCTTCCGCCATGCCCGGATTTTGGCCGCAAATGACATGACCGCAACCTTATCAACTCCTTCCAAAAGTATACGGGTCGGCTGGGGCGTGCTAGCCTTGACGCCCATTGGAATTGGCAGCTCGACGGGATGTGTGAAGCCGACCTTGAGGTTGACGAATTGCTGGCCGGGGAACTCGGCCTGGACGGTGGTTGCTTCTTTCTCAACGGTTGCACGGTAACCGACGCCAACAAGACGCAAGATGGCGGTATGGCCTTCTGACACTCCTAAGACGTTGTTTTGCAAGTATGCCCGAATGGTGCCTGGGAGAGAGGGGTTCATCAGCGAATGCAGTGAAACACAGACAGGAAGAACCAGACATACCCCACATCTCACGCTGTTCTTTCTGCTTAGGCTTCAGGACTTGAATGGTGGGCGGGCTGTCGGGAGTGGCGCGCTCAATGCGAACAAAGGGCGGGATGGACATAGACAACTCTCCAAGCGGGCCCTTGACGACGGCTGTCGAGAGAGGCACATCTCGGCTGACCCTCAGCCCTCTTTGAGCTGGCGGCGCAAGAACCTCGAGGGTCACCTCCGGCGGAAGGGACAGCGGTGCCCGGCCGATCTTGGAGGCGCATGGCGCCGAGACACTGAAGGCGCGGGCATTGGAGGCCACGCAGGCGTGCACGCAGCGCCGACGAGCCGTTGAGAACATGGTAGGTGCTGCTGCGGTGCGTCGTTTGGTAGTTGCGGTTGCGTTCTTGCCTCGTTCGCGCTAGCCGATCACGTGCCTCGCGACACGTCTCGTCATGTCCGCCCCGCGCCTCGTCGCGTCCTTCCCCTCCTCCACTTCGTCTTCAACCCCACAATCGCTCCACGACTCAAAGGCTTTGAAAAGGGCTAGTCGTTGCATTGTGCCAGAGGTTTATTTATCAATCTTCACTCAAAGTCGTGTCGCAGACGCGTCTACAACACCAACTAACACAACAGCGCTAACAAGATTTCAACCAACACTGAACGACTCCTCAATGAACATTGGACGACTCGTCAGCATGCCTCGTCTTCTACATCTCAGGACTTTATTCCTCGTCGCCTTCATGTTTCTGACTCTCCAGCTCACGGTTGCCGTTTCTACTCAAGACACTGACTTGAAGACAATGTTGCTCCGCACGCCAGTCCATGACCCTGTGGTCTTTGAGCAAGCTCACAAGTACATTCAGAACATGCAGTCTAAAGCCCCTTGTCAGCAACTCGCCGCCTCGACGCTCATTGATGGTTGCCAGTCACTCGACGTCATGGGTGCTCAGGCCGCTCGTCTCTCTGGAAAATCCCTTGAGGAGGTGAAGAAAGAGTATGCTACCCGCTTGGCCATCTGCGAACTGCGCGATATTGAAGGCGGTGTCCCCGACGAGTGCATCTTGTTCAACCCTACTGGCCAAGCCTGTGGCAAGCCTCACTCTTGGCTTTCCTTCCATCCCCGTGCACGTCCATCTGGGGAAGATCTCAAAAATGTCTGCTATCCCGCTCACACGTCGAAGCACCTGGAAAATTGTTATTCAAGGCTTTATAAAACCCCGCAGATGTGGGTCAGCCTCAGCAATGCTCAAAACAACGCTCATATCATCTGCCAGGCCAGTCGAAGTGCAGTTGAAAATGGTAAGATATTTTCTTTCTTACTGATCAAGAAGCGCTAACTGTAGTAGATGAACATCTTAACATGCTCAAGGAATCTGTAAAGTCACAGCACCACACGTCAGAAGCGCTGTCTAGATTGCTTCAAGAGACAGCTTCTCGTCTCGAAGAGCACTATAAGTTCGTTGAGATCATGCGTCAATTCCAGGCTGATGTTACTGCGAGCCAAGAGGCCGCCTTGGCTAACGCTGACGGACTCCTTGACCGCCTGATGGCAAACTTTGGGACCGGAATCAATGCTCTCTTTGGTACTGTCGCCGAGAACACCGACAATGTCTTTAAGAAAACCCGTGCCAGCCTCAAGTCTCTTCATGATGATGCCACCGAGCATCATCAGGCACAGGCAGCGTTTCAGGAGAAGTCTCTGAGAGCGCATCAGGCGCTTGTTGAGGCCGTTGACAACTCGCTAATCGACATACGCGATATTCACATGGCAGACATCATCAAGCACGCTCAAGAGGCCTACAACTTAATGGTAAGCCCATCGGCAGATGCATGAAATTGGAATACATGCCACTAACATGTACATACAGACTCAATCTATATTCGGTTCTCAGCAACTTCTGGAATCACAGCTTGCATTAAACATGGTATGGATTTGCCCATTATCCACTCTGCCTAGGGTTCACTGAAGCTAACAGATTAGTATCAAAACCGCACGCTGGAGGCTTTTGAGAGTCTGAACAATGACCTAGCTAATCAACGTATCCTCATCGATGAAAACTCTGGAAGGATTTCAGCCATGTCTATCATGACTTTGAACGACACTTTCAGGGTCTTCTTGAGTCATGCCTTTAATTGGATATTCCTCGCCATTGCCTTACGGATAGTTTACCCTTACAGCCGCACACTGGCAGCCTATATGGGCTGTGGTGGAGGTCAGTTTCCCCGAGGCTCAGTCTTCGTCAGTTTTTTAACAAAGTCCCAGTTATTGCCATCTTTCTCGACAGCTGGCTTTTGGACTTACTGCAGTCTTCTCCCTCACTGGCAGACTACCCCCAGCTCCAACAAGCTGTCTGGATTTGCGGCCTCATCACACTCACGGCGGGCGCCCTTGCTATCATCGGCGCGCTGTCTTATCGGTTCCTCGTGTTGCCGGCCAGAGATCGCAGGAATAACTTCATAAAGTCAAAATCTGATGTGGTCCTTGAGTAAAGACATGCGGTCATCAGTCAACTCTGCGGATTGCCCGCTTCCTTAACCACACTGGATTAAATCACGAGATAAACGTGCCTTAATGGCTATAACATCGACAAATACGCGTCTTCTCCCATTTTCTCAACCGACTGGCAGCGAGCGATAGCTTCTATTATTCGAAATACTTACGCGGGCGTTCGAGCTATGGCGTTTTCAGGTTTTGGGCATTTCAAAATTTATTGTTAATGCTTTATTGGAGCTTGCTAGGGAGGTTGATCACAAGCACTGAGTTAAATTCAAAGTGCATTCAGAGGTACAATAATTCTCGTTTTGCTATGGCGGACTAAGAGCCTCAGATAATGGACCGGTTAGACGAACGGAAGAATTCAGGTAAAATGGAGCACCTAAGTTTCTGGCCGAAAAATAAAGATTGCTCTTCTTCCAACACTTCCTGCTTTCATGCTTTCAATGAAAAAGTAATTTGCATGCCTTATGACTTTACTATACCAATGAAATTGATCAGTTTGACTGTACTCGATCGGCTGTCCCTGATCCATATATAGGGCAAAAGTAAGAGTAGTACATCATCCTTATGCGATTGTTGCATACCAAATTGGCAAAAACCAAGATGTGGTTCCAATGATATCAGCACATATGGCCCTATTCGCGTGCCTGTTCAAATGAAGTATAAACCGCGATCACTGGATCGCATTTAAGAATCCGGGTTACCTTACATACAATTGCCTTTCAGTGTCTAAGCAACCGTCATAACCTAGGTCACTTCTTTGACAAAAGAAGGCCGAGAACTCCGCTTCATTCAACCCCGCAATTAACATATAACTGAAACTTTCAGCGAAACCTTGAGGCAGTGGAGTTGTGTTGTGAAAAATAGAAGAGCCAGAAAACCATTTGTGAGTTTTGGGGAGAAAAAATCCATGAAGCAGTTGTTATAACCCCACTATTCACCATTGTCGCTATCAACGCGAGCGGATGGCGTGTCGTAATGACGCCTAGGCTCGTTAGGTGTGCCAATAGGTTGAGGTGTAGGGGTTTCGAAGAGCTCAACGTACATTTGTTTGCCGCTCTCTGTATCAGACTCAGCGTAAGACGTGATTCCAACCTGGGCTTGAATTGCTTGAATCTGTGTAGGCATAACTCCACTGAGTTCCGTAGGTTGTGCGGCAGTAAATGAGCCTTGGGTTTCGTTGGGGGGCCTGAGTGAGTGGGCAAGGGCGCGTTCCTCCTCACTCATTCTTCTGTATTCTTTGTCGGCTTCTGACTGGAGATACTGGCACAGTTTGTCTCGGCTTCCTGGGAGGTGCAGAGCAAGCCGATCCTTCGCTTCTTCGAAACACAACCACCTCCTCACGAGGGATGGGACAGTCGCAACGTCAGGCTCCTCACGTTCATCACTGTTAATGGCTTCTGTATCTGCCTCGGTCGTTGATTGATCGCGGCTGGTTGCCGAAGCATTAGTACTCAGGCCCAATAGACTCGCAGAAGAGGCATCGATAGCCGCTCCCATTGTCGATGCTTGGCTGACCGCAGGTCGACCTACTTCAACGGCCTTTGTCAGTAGTTGTCACGAACAAGTCTTTCGTAACGCTTACCTGATGCCAATTGAGAGCGTGGTGTTGAAAGGTTGAATAAATCCAGGCCATGAGTGCCATTCTTTTCGACATAACAAAGTCTGCAGACCTGCTGGCCGCAGTCGATGCATTTCTTGAGAGTTGAGATGTTTCTACGGTTGCATATGGAGCATTTCGCCGTGTGAACAGTTACGTCGTCGAAGACCCCGGAACAAGGCATTCTCGTGAACTGGAACAGGTCGAGGTTATTCGTTTGTGGGGGAGTTTATAGAGAGATTTGGCAAGGGGTAAAATGATAAGGTCTTAGATACTTCTCGGTAATCAGGTTTCCGCCAGGCAGTGATACCAGAAGTGAATGTATTGAATTGAGGTGAAGAGAATTGAACAGGCAGAACCAGGGCGCTTTTATATGCGGTAACTTTGACGATCTGAAAGGGACAGCATGGCAGGCACCGTTAGCAGGTGACCCTCTGATTTGCCTGTCAGGTACAAGTGCACAGCCTGCGCAGCTTCACAGAGGTAAGGCAATAGCCGCACAAAGGAAGTCCATGCCCGTGATAACCACACGTGCGCATTGCTTGAGCAGCTGCAGTTACCTGATTACCTGCCATATCCTTGAGTCACGCCAATGGAAATTTGTCTTAAGAGGGCCGACCTGTGAATACTCCAAAAGAGATTGATCACCATATCAATAACGGCTAGACAACATTGACACTCCAACAGCAGCCGAGTGTCAAATGGATAAAAGGCAGCCTCCGAAAGAAAGTCCTGTAGCTTGTCGAGATAACTGAATCGATGATCTGTTGCATCGGGATACCATACGACGGCCACTGCAACACTCTCCGTACTTCTGCGGCGGTCAATAGCTACAGGCTTTGATGCATGGTGAAGGGTGTGCAACTATTTGAAATACAAAGATTGTGTGAAGGAGACGACACATGGTTGAAACGGAAGCTGCAACGGAGAGAACCTACCGGGCGGAAGTGGCGGGGATTGGAAGTCTTGACGCGGGCGCGGACCAATTCCCACTCCGCGCTTCCGCGCCACAACCTATATCGCGACATCATAGGTGGTAAAGACTTTAAAAGGCACACTGAGGTGCCTGCCAGTTCATCTCCTTTCTCCCCTACTGGCATTTCTGCATTCCCAAAAATGTCCCGTGTTCCTCTCTTAGCAATATCATCTGTCGCTGGGAGCATTCTTCTGAATCGCTACGCCCCAGCCTACAACCTTAGCGACTCGCTGGTTATTCGTACCATCGTTCTTTTCTGGGCACAAGTGTTGATTCTTTCGACATGGTCGATGCTTCTATACCCCCATTGCTTCAGCCCCATACGCCGTTTACCCCAGCCGGTGGTGAGCACATCCTTCGGTACACATGCAAGTAGAAGACGTTAACCGGTTGGCCACAGGGAGCTAACTGGCTGATGGGCCATTTTGGCAAGATCAGAAAAGAGACTACTGGAGAGCCCCAGCGCGAGTGGATGGAAACAGTACCCAATGACGGCCTTATTTACTATAGGTTCGCTTTCAACAGCGAGCGCGTTCTACTGACATCCCCAACCGCCTTGGCTGAAGTGTTGGTGCATAAAAATTACGAATTTATCAAGCCACAGCAGATTAGGCACGGTCTTGGAAGAGTACTTGGTATCGGCCTCATCTTAGCAGAGGGTGAAGAGCACAGGCACCAACGAAAGGCCCTCATGCCTGCATTTTCCTTCCGTCACATCAAAGACCTGTACCCCGTTTTCTGGAAAAAGAGCCAGGAAGCCGCTGAGTCCATGGCTACTGCCTTGGAGCAATCATGCAAAGGCTTGGAGAAGAGCTCCGCTATAGATATAGCAAATTGGGCATCTCGTGCCACGCTTGATATCATCGGTGTTGCCGGCATGGGCGAGGACTTCAACGCTTTACAAAACCCGGAAAGCGAACTGAACGTTACGTACCGCAAGATCTTCTCCCCCAACAAAGTCGCGCGCCTTCTGCAACTGCTTGGAGTTTTGGTACCTTTATCCGTTGTACGCCGTATCCCCGTAAAACGCAATTTTGAGGTTGCCGATGCGGCCACGACTATCAAGCGTGTTGCATACGATCTCATTCAAGAGAAAAGGCAAAAAATGGAGAAAGGAGAGCAGCGAACCGACGTGGACATCTTGTCTGTTGCCATCGAATCGGGTGGTTTCACTGATGAAGAACTTGTCAATCAGGTCATGACCTTCCTAGCCGCTGGTCACGAAACTGTTGCCGCGGCCATGATTTGGGCAGTTTACCTTCTATGCAAATACCCGCATGTACAAAAACGCCTCAGAGAGGAGATCCATGCAAACATCCCGTCTCTGCACACTACTATAACTTCTACGGATATCGATCGTCTTCAATACCTCAACGCCGTTTGCAACGAGGCTACTCGTATCTATCCACCGGTACCCATGACTCTGCGCATTGCCGCAAAAAACACCACGATTTTGGGCCACTTCATCCCAAAGGGCACAACCGTAATCATTTCACCATGGGCCATCAACACAAATCGCCAGCTTTGGGGCAACGATGCGGACGAGTTTGACCCGGATCGCTGGATGGGACCTGGTCGTGCTAACAGCGGTGGCGCTGACAGCAACTATTCATTTTTGACTTTCCTTCATGGCCCTAGGTCTTGTATTGGCCAAGGGTTTGCGAAAGCAGAGTTCGCGTGTCTATTAGCCGCCTGGGTTGGGAAATTCGAGATGGAGTTGACTGATCCAAACTGGAAACTAGAGGTCCAGGGCGGTATTACAGCTAGGCCTAAGGGGAACCTACCGATCAAGCTTACGCCATTAACGAGCTGGTAAAGCAGAATATATACAATTAACTGTCCTACCTCAAAAACAATAATATTAAGTTGCTTAACGTCCCTAGTAACCTATAAATGAGATTGACTACTCAGCGAGATACCTAATTAGATATTAAATATCCTTCTTAGGCTTCGTCGGGTGCTCTCTTAGTAGACGAATTTAGTAGCGATTATCTAGGCCCTAGTTCATAATAGCTTACTAACCTTAGGTGCTTTAATTCTCATGTAAGTAACGCGTAGGCGCATAAACGAGATAGACGAGTAAGCAAGATCGCTAAGTACTTAGGATATCTACTACTAATAGCCGCTATTAGAAATTCTCTCTATATATACGTAATATAGCTATTTACTACTAAGATATATATACTATTTTTTCTAAGTATTTTCTAAAATATATATATTATTTTTAAGATAAATATATCGGCTACTTCCTACTAAGATATATACTTTTTTTCGAATATTTTTTAAGACATATATTCTTATAATATACTATAATATATTTATTTTAGGAATAGTATATATATCTTAGAAAATATTTAAAATATATATATATATATATCTCTTAGTAAATAGCCGAATACTAAAACTATCTATTATAGTATATCTAGCGGATTTAGCGAATCTAGCGAATATAGTAACTTTTATAGATTTAAAGTATCTAGTATATCTAATAAGTCTAAGTCCTTTAATAACTATACTTCTAAATTAAATTCAACGGCTATTTACTAAGATATATATTTTATAATGTTTCTATAATATATAAATATATTTATCTTAGAGTTTTACGCTATATATATATAGTATTTTATTACTAAAATTGTATATCTAAGAAACGTAGTTAAAAAGTATATATATTTTAGAAAATAATTCGAATTATCTATATATTTTAGAAATAAAAATTTAAAAAAATATATATCTTGGAAATATTTCTTAGAAAATATATTCTTAATAAATTAAATATATTCTTAAAAAAAATCGAATATATTCTTAAAACAAATAAATATATTAATAAAATAAAAAACTGCTAAAAAAAATCTAAAGAATACTAATATATTATTAGAAGAATATACTCCTAAAAAACATAGTCTTAAATATATATATTCTTTAAAAAAAATTCTTAAAAAATCGAAATAGATTCTTAAAAAAAATATTCTTAAAAAAAATATTCTTAAAAAAAATATTCTTAAAAAAAATATTCTTAAAAAAAAGCGAAATATACTTATAAAAAAAATTAAGATATACATATTTTTAAAATTTATTCTAAGATATATATATCGAGAAAGTCTCTCTAAGATAAACAATTTTTTAAGTATTTTATAAATATATATATCTTAATTTTTTTTATAAGTATATTTCGCTTTTTTTTTTAAGAATATTTTTTTTT